GTTTCCAGTGTCGTGGCTCCTGAGCCTTGCTGTTTAAGTCTCAAAAAGCACAGCATTTCCAAAGAAAAGTAAGTGAGATGGACAATTTAACTTTGATATTAAGGGCATGTTAGTTTGATGTTCTAACTTTCATGTTAGAATCTCTAAGAGGCTTGGTTAGGACTTTTCCTAGGATTTTTAGCACTGCCTTGCACAATTCTTTTTTTGGAGAACACTTGATGGATGCAACTTATAAGGATTTGTTTCTCCATCTGGTCCTACAAACATCATAACGAATTCAAAATGCATTTAAGTTATGGGTCACGTAAAACTGAATGAAGAGCCTAAATAAGTGAGGTAAACCAAAATCTCACAATTAAAAAAAATGTCCTTACTGCATGATACCATTAAGCAGCAATTTATGGAGAGAGTGTGTGTGCGTTTGTACATGATGAATTTATGGTAATAATCTCATAATCTCAGTCTGCTCCTACAAGTTTAGTCATGAACTATATGAGCCTGGCTGAGATTGAACATTCCTCTACTAGGTGACGTGACTCTAGCTCTGGCTCATGGGGGGTTGGCTAGTAGTTTAAATTGCCACATGCAATAGATGGTTATTGGTTTGTATTGCAGTGCCTAAGGGGTTTAATGGACGTACACATAATCTGGATGGGAACCCAATGGTGTTAAAAACAGGCCCTTTCCAGATCATAATAAAATCGGAAGTTTGCTTGATTTTGGTAAGGCTTAGTCTGTGCATTAAAAATATCAGTGTTTCCATCTGAAAGAGGCTGATAAAGTCAGAGTTTGACTGGAAAACTAAGCAGAGGAAATGAGTTCTTAGATACATTAGATATCTTAAATACTTTAGGTATCTAAAAAAATGCCTTCAATTTTGTCAGGTAGTCTCTTTTCATCAGATAAAGCTTTCAACATAAACTTGAAAAGAACCCTACAGTAAATAAACGTTATTTGCCATTCTTACCTAGGAAAAAATATTGAATTTTCCCACATTGTGTGACTAAATGTGACTAACTCCAGTAATGGAATATATGGAAATATTGGCTTATTATAAAAACATGTCAACCAGAATTCTGATGGTTGCTTTACCTGTTATTTTAAATAATAAAAGATGTTTCTTTAAGACATGCAAGAATGTATGCCTCCTGGGAAATGAGGTTAATTTATAAGTTACAGTGATATTTTATCTGTGTCATCATAAGATATACTTAGCCTCAGAGAAAATCTAGTGGTATTTTAAGGAATGAACAGGCAGACATTAGAATCACCTGCACAGAACTAAGGGAGAGTTTTCAAACTCTAGGGCTCTTCTGAAATGGACCATAGAGGATCATATTCCCTCGAATAAGAATCAGTGCCTTAGTAGGAGAGCCAGGCCTTGAAACCAGGTCTTATATTCTATGTTACTTCATCACCTCTATTTGCTTTTAGAAGTTGCATTGACCTTTTCTAGGTTAATTTGAGTGTCTTCAGTGCAAAAAAACCCATAGTAAACACAATCACAGGACGCTTTGTAGAAGTGCCCCATGAACTATGTGTTAGAAAATGGGTAAGATTTGATTTGGGTTTGATAAATGTCCATTCATGCGAATGACTAGAGGTGAAAGTTGGAAGCAGAATCAAATGCAGTTACTGAGGGAGGAGACTAAGTTGCATACGTTTTGGTGAGCAGCAGGGATCAGTGGAAAATAAGGTGGACCTGATCAGATGGGGCCAGATCACAGGGGACCTCTCAAAATTAGGCAAGTGAGTTTAAATTTTTATGACATTAAATACGGAATAATTGAAAATTTTGGAGCAAGTGGGTAGCTTAAAGGTAGTCTGGGAAACTCAGCCTGGCACTATGTCCAAGTTACTTTTTTCTTATTATTATTGAATCATAATTGATTGTACATATCTTTGGAGTACCACATTGACTATCAGTACCTGTGTGCAATATGTGATGCTCAAATCAGGATAATCGGTATATTCAACAATACACAAGAAGATATACAAATGGCTGACAGACACATAAAAAATGCTCAGCATCCCTAAGCATCAGGGAAATGCAAATCAAAACCGCATTGAGGTATCATCCCACCCCAGTTAGACTGGCTATTAGCACATTAGTTTTGAGCACAGAGATCACAGGGAGCAGCAAGAAGGCTTCTGAAATATGGCTTAAGGTATATTCAGGAGTCATTGCAAAGCAAAAAGCACATTGCCCACAGGACTAACTTTATAGAGAGAAGAAGAAAGCTCTGAACAGAAAAAGCACAAGATTTGTCTAGGAAAATGGAGGTAATATTTCTGCATTTCTGTAGGAAGACCAGAAGGGGGATCCAAGCTCTTGAGAAGAAACCATAACTTGGTTTTCATCCTGTGGCAGTGTGGGTGGCCTGGTGTCCAGGAAGCATTTGGGCTCCAAATCAAACAAGGGCATTGGGAGAGAACAGAGATTTAAGAATCTGCACGTGCCTCAAGGGAAAATGTTGTATCAGAAGCCACGAGAATGCTGATGCTGCAAGGGAGATAGTGCAGAGAAAAAGGCAAAGCAAGAGACAAAACATAAAACAAAAAGGGCAGAAAGAGGAGTGAGGTGAAGCCATGCATGTCACAGATGGAAAGAGGAGATATTTTCCAGAAAGCAAATACAGTAAATTTCTTTAAACGTAGAAGGGGGAATAGAATTGAGTCACCTTGCATGTCTATGTGCAGGGGTGTGTGTGTGTGTGTGTGTGTTTGTGTGTGTGTGGTGTAGGGGAGAACACTCATTTAAAACACTTATATGTCAGGCATTTTTCTCTGGACAAAATATAATTTTGTTCTATTTTTTAACCTACCATTAGCTCAACTCTTCCCCTCTATCCTGGATACTAGGATATTTCATTTATTACTATTTCCTTATGATATACAAACAATAAAGTGAATAAAAGAAATACATTCTGAAAAACGTGTGACTTCTGGGTAGGTTGGATAGTAAATCTGTGGATCCAGGATCCTCCTCGCTACACACTGCTGGCAGGTGCCGATTACTGCAACTTCATTAGGGTTCCCCAGAACATAATGGATACTCCTGATGAATGATACCATGGCATCCCATCCTTTTCCTTTCTAACACATTTCCCAATTTTCAGCAAATGATTTTAGGTTTAATGTCTGTTTCTCCTGAGAAAACATAAACCTCATTAGAATGTGGATAATTGGTATCTGCCTCATCCCCACGTCCCTAGTACCTAGTGCAGTGCTTTGCATGTAGTAGGCCCTTGATAGTGTTTGTTGAAAGAACAAAGAGCAGGGCCGGCCCAGTGGCACACTGCTACAGTGCGCCGCTTGGGAGCATGGCGGCGCTCCCGCCGAGGGTTCGGATCCCACATACAGACCGGTTCCCGCTCACTGGCTGAGCGAGGTGCAGGTGCGACACTGAGGGTTGCGATCCCGTGGCCGGTCCCGGTCCGGTACGGGCACGACACTGAGGGTTGCGATCCGTTGCCGGACACGAAAAAAAGGAAAAAAAAAAAAAAGAAAGAACAAAGAGCAAATGAGCTCGTTGAGTTTTACCATCTACAAACTGAATAGTAATGTCCTTCCAAGGCTTGTCCAATAAATGCTCTTCTGTCCAAGTCCCTCCAATAAGTTCGCTTCTACCACCCATAATTCTGACAAGGGGGTTTACCACACTTGGAATTATGTAATTAAATGCACCATTTGTTATTTAATGCCTGTGTTCCTGGATAGATGGCGAGATTCCTGATGGTGAGAATGGGATTTTGGTCACCACTCTTTGTCAAGTCCTTGGCACATAGTAGGTATAAAATAAGTAGATGCTGAATGTCAAATAAGTGATTATATTGATTTTATTTGAAAGGAACAAAAGCTTAAGGAAACTGAAAAAAAAAACCATCTAAGGTTGTACAGTTGTACAAAATCAACTCTATGTCCAAAGCTTGCTTATTGACTTTTATTTCTAATCACTAAATCAGAAGCACGAAGAAAAGACTATTTGATTTGCCAAGAGGCTATTCATGCCCTTTAAGACAATGACTTTATTATGGAGGTTGTGGATCATTTAATGGGTGGCAGCAGGAGTGGGAGAGGAAAGTAGAATATGGGGAATGTTTGTGTATGAATTTGGGTGTGAACGGGCATCTGCTGATCTGATTCTGTGTGTCTGTCTCTGATGTTTAAGAGGGCACGAGGGGATGAGTGGAAGGTAGTGTGTAGAGGATGAAGTTGGCATCTTTTTATGACTTTTTCCTTCTCCTTTGTCGAATATCTTCAAATATATCTTACAGTTTATGTCCTCCGCTTCTCATAAATTCTATGCTTCTTGGACGAATGGAACTCTTTTAATCCCCAATTTATAATAATCTCTAAACCATCCCATCAGTGGCCTAGGCAACTTATTTGGGCTCTTCAAATGGGAAAAGAGGTAGAAGAATGCTTTTTAAGTTTGAAAAATACTATAATTTTTAAATATTATTGTGAAAGATTGCAAGTCTTAGAAGATGGTTATAAAATTTGCAGTAAATTGAGATAAGTTGAAGAAATGTTGCATTGAAAACATGATGAAAGCAGTCATGGAAGGCAGGAAGACAGGAAGGCAAGAAGGAGGGAGATTTGGGGAAGGTGGATAAGACAGTTTAGAATGTAGGAGTCCTGTGGACTGAAGCTGAAAATGAACCACCCCAAACAGTCATGTTACTTGCTTTTTCCCCTAATGGTGTGCTCCAGTGATCCCTCCACAGAAACCAACCCTAAATGGGGTAAAATGTGCAAGAGAATGAGGCCTCTGCTTCCATGATTTTTTGTTTTATTCCTCAGGAGCTTATCTAAGAATCCAACTGCTTTTTAGAGTCAATTGCTACAAATGTGTTTAATCATTTCCCAGTTATCAGCAAACTTCAGGAGCGTGTGTTCCAAGAAAATGTAGCAAAAAACAAAAATGGAGACTGAAAGCCATGTCGTCACTGCAGACGTTGCTCCACTCATACTTTGTCTTTCCGCCTCGTCCACAGAACCCAAGGTGAGCTGCAAGTTAGGCCGGTCTGCGTCCACGTCAGGTGTGCCCCCTCCGTCAGCGACTCCTCTCAGGCAAGCCAGCGACCTGCAGCAGAGCCAGGTACCATCACCGTTAGCCAGTCGTGATTGACTTCCTGTGATGCGACATGCGGAATGCTTCCCACCTCTGTCTGTCTCGTGGCTGTAGAAACTGTTGCATTTGCTTTTAGTTTCCGCGTGTGTATGGATGGGGGGTGAGTTCTGGCAGTCTGTGTTTTCATCCTAAACAGAAGTCTTTCTTCCTCGTGACTGTTGAAACTTCCTTTGCTGTTTGTTACCAAATCGTTTTTGTCTCTGGTTTCCATCCTTCTGTAATATAAATGTACTAAACTTGTACTATATGTATTGGCTTAGTGGTTATTTTTTAAAATTCTTCCACTCTTCCATGTTTTGTGTACTTTTATACTGTCTCTGAAAATTTATCAACATTTGATAAATTTATCTACTTTGTTTTATGTAAATTTCTTTTTCAATGTTTTGTCCACAACACTTGCACAGATGTTGTCAATGAATTTGTACATATCTTTTAGCTCTTATCCTATTATACTGTAATATTTGTGGCAGTTTTACTTTTATTTTTATTTAGCTTGGAGCATGATTGTAAGACACTGTGAATATTAATGTCCTTATAAATATTCATATGCCAACTCATTTGAATTGAATATGGCAGCTAGTCTTTCTTCTTTCTTAGGCCATACAGACAACTTAACTGACCAGATAATCTAGATATTTACCCAGAACTGTAGATTAATAAGGCGAGCTTTAAATAAATGAGTTTTCTCTCTTATCCCAACAATATCATAAATGTTCTCCAAGAGGATGCAAGTGTTCATGCATGGTAAATGAGATCTCTATTATTACTTGGAGAAAAGAGACAAGAAATAAAGGCATAAACTGAAATGTCACTTAATCTTTTACAGTACAATATGTTGTTCTGATGTTCCTTTTAATGCACTGCTGTGTATGGGGAATTTAGTATGGGGGAAAATCACTACACATAAATGTCCTTTCTGTAACTCACCCAATAGGAATTCAATATATCAACTTAATTCGTGAAACTTAATTGTTGTTGCTGTTGAGTATTATGGGTGTTAAATAAGACAATGTCATCCTGGAGTATAATCTGCTTCCCAATGCTAATCTTTGCATTCGTAAAAGTCTTCTGAAATAGTAAATTCTAAAGCTACTGATGGTACCTGCAGGAGAACTGCCCATTAATGATTAACAAATTACATATTCATAAAATATTTTTTAATGTCAGGCTATTTTAAAAACATAACTAAGCAGAATAATTTTTTTTGTTTCCCTAATGAGAGCCACTGTGTTTCTTTGTATGTTTATCTGGCTTAAATATGCAGAGGATTTGATTTATGAATATATGAGGTATCTACAAACACAAGAAATGAGAGGTTTCTCTCAAGGGCATCTCAGGTATTATTTAGAATTTTTTTGTTTCAATTTAAAATGTTAAATGCCTTTATAAATAAACGATGCCAACTCAAACACTTTTTGGAAATAAAATAGAAACAATAAGACACTGAATAAATAAATAATCAATAGCACAACCTCATTAAGATAAACTGCCATTATAGCTGATTAAAGCTCTTGCCAACATATTATATTTACCTATATTTAAAGTTTCAAAACACTGGATACAGAAAGAAAAGAATTTTAGCTAATTGGCCGAGGATTGCACTAGTATAACCAATTTCCAAGTATATGATCTTTGCTATCAAAACATTATGCTCAATATCTCAGAGAGGTTTCGTGTTCTTTGTTTTGGTTTTCTATTTTTCTAATCATCTTTATAGCGATTTCATCTTAAGCCACTTCCTCTCTCAATGAAAGCAGGTTCCGGGATCAACTTCCAGAATAGAGACAGGCACTCTCTTTGTACCTGTGCATTACTAGCTCCTTGCTCACCTGCTGGGATGTTCTTCATTTTTCAAAATGTCGCAACATGAGAAAGCCTGTCATGCTACTTATGTGCTGGTAATTTCCTTACCTACTGACAAGTTCTGCACACAGCTAAGTTGTCGATGGGCTGTCGGTGCATGAAATAGAAGGCTGGCCTCTGGGCTGCTCATCTGTGGCTTATGACCAGTTGTAGTATATATGAGGGTACTTCAATGTTCATGGAAAAATAGAGTTGAAAGATAATCTGAATCTTTCCATGAACTATTTGAAGTACCCTCATATTTCTATATTTTAGGGAAAAAGGGATAAGCATAGCTTAGATGAACCTTGTTCTGTATTCCTATGACTTAGCACTCAACTAAAGTCAATGGATACTTACTGAAGGTCCACTTCTCACTTAATTCCCATGCCCTCAACCATGGTCCTGACCAAAATGCCTTCTTTAAGTTACAACCAAGATGACACTGCCCTGTGTTCAGGAGTGCAGGAAAAGAAGCCATTTAAACCTGTTTTGTCTAAGTATGAACATTTATACACCAACTACGAAAATGGAGCACCTAGCCTTATCAGACCATCACCCTGGTCACTTTTTAAGCATTTATTTTTTGTTTATTTTTTAATACTAGAATTTTTGGTAGTTAGTAAAACCCAGAATTCTTAATAGTAGATGAATAGACTTCTTACTAGGAAATCATGGGAAAATCATGTGATCTATTTAAAACAAAGAAAAGCAGTCACTAGCTTCTAAGGCAATCCCACTGGTACATCTCTGCTGAGGAATCTGGCCTTAGGAAGGCTGTGCCATTTCAACCACATTGTGGGGCATGAACCCTCGTACAGAAGGAAGTGTGTTTCTTTTTAGATTGTTTTTTATGTCCTCTCTCTTTTCAGTTTTCTCTGTCCTGTGTGTCACTTACCACTTTATACCATGTTTGGAGCTTTCTAAGGTGTGTTGCAGGTGTAGTTAAGTGAAAGTACTTAACATTGCTTCAGCAGAGAGGTACAGAGGTGGCCAGAAGTGACTACCCCAGCCTCAGGAGCTGGGGTCTATACTGGCTGCCCACAACTAGACAAAGGTGTGTAGACAAAGATGAAGGGAATGTCTGCTGGACTTTGCAATCCGTTTTAGCTTCAGGTAGCTACTGCAGATGCAGGATCTGTAGAAAGTANAGTCTTTCTTCCTCGTGACTGTTGAAACTTCCTTTGCTGTTTGTTACCAAATCGTTTTTGTCTCTGGTTTCCATCCTTCTGTAATATAAATGTACTAAACTTGTACTATATGTATTGGCTTAGTGGTTATTTTTTAAAATTCTTCCACTCTTCCATGTTTTGTGTACTTTTATACTGTCTCTGAAAATTTATCAACATTTGATAAATTTATCTACTTTGTTTTATGTAAATTTCTTTTTCAATGTTTTGTCCACAACACTTGCACAGATGTTGTCAATGAATTTGTACATATCTTTTAGCTCTTATCCTATTATACTGTAATATTTGTGGCAGTTTTACTTTTATTTTTATTTAGCTTGGAGCATGATTGTAAGACACTGTGAATATTAATGTCCTTATAAATATTCATATGCCAACTCATTTGAATTGAATATGGCAGCTAGTCTTTCTTCTTTCTTAGGCCATACAGACAACTTAACTGACCAGATAATCTAGATATTTACCCAGAACTGTAGATTAATAAGGCGAGCTTTAAATAAATGAGTTTTCTCTCTTATCCCAACAATATCATAAATGTTCTCCAAGAGGATGCAAGTGTTCATGCATGGTAAATGAGATCTCTATTATTACTTGGAGAAAAGAGACAAGAAATAAAGGCATAAACTGAAATGTCACTTAATCTTTTACAGTACAATATGTTGTTCTGATGTTCCTTTTAATGCACTGCTGTGTATGGGGAATTTAGTATGGGGGAAAATCACTACACATAAATGTCCTTTCTGTAACTCACCCAATAGGAATTCAATATATCAACTTAATTCGTGAAACTTAATTGTTGTTGCTGTTGAGTATTATGGGTGTTAAATAAGACAATGTCATCCTGGAGTATAATCTGCTTCCCAATGCTAATCTTTGCATTCGTAAAAGTCTTCTGAAATAGTAAATTCTAAAGCTACTGATGGTACCTGCAGGAGAACTGCCCATTAATGATTAACAAATTACATATTCATAAAATATTTTTTAATGTCAGGCTATTTTAAAAACATAACTAAGCAGAATAATTTTTTTTGTTTCCCTAATGAGAGCCACTGTGTTTCTTTGTATGTTTATCTGGCTTAAATATGCAGAGGATTTGATTTATGAATATATGAGGTATCTACAAACACAAGAAATGAGAGGTTTCTCTCAAGGGCATCTCAGGTATTATTTAGAATTTTTTTGTTTCAATTTAAAATGTTAAATGCCTTTATAAATAAACGATGCCAACTCAAACACTTTTTGGAAATAAAATAGAAACAATAAGACACTGAATAAATAAATAATCAATAGCACAACCTCATTAAGATAAACTGCCATTATAGCTGATTAAAGCTCTTGCCAACATATTATATTTACCTATATTTAAAGTTTCAAAACACTGGATACAGAAAGAAAAGAATTTTAGCTAATTGGCCGAGGATTGCACTAGTATAACCAATTTCCAAGTATATGATCTTTGCTATCAAAACATTATGCTCAATATCTCAGAGAGGTTTCGTGTTCTTTGTTTTGGTTTTCTATTTTTCTAATCATCTTTATAGCGATTTCATCTTAAGCCACTTCCTCTCTCAATGAAAGCAGGTTCCGGGATCAACTTCCAGAATAGAGACAGGCACTCTCTTTGTACCTGTGCATTACTAGCTCCTTGCTCACCTGCTGGGATGTTCTTCATTTTTCAAAATGTCGCAACATGAGAAAGCCTGTCATGCTACTTATGTGCTGGTAATTTCCTTACCTACTGACAAGTTCTGCACACAGCTAAGTTGTCGATGGGCTGTCGGTGCATGAAATAGAAGGCTGGCCTCTGGGCTGCTCATCTGTGGCTTATGACCAGTTGTAGTATATATGAGGGTACTTCAATGTTCATGGAAAAATAGAGTTGAAAGATAATCTGAATCTTTCCATGAACTATTTGAAGTACCCTCATATTTCTAT